CTGGTGAGGGATCCAGGAGTGCAGAATCACCTCAGCCAGATGTGGGCGAGGTTCCTGGTGAGGAAGCCAGGCTCACAAAATCACCTGGGCCAGATGTGGACAATGTTCCCAGTCAGGAAGCTGGACTTACAGAGCCACCTGGACCAGATATAGGTAATCCCCATGCACAGAATGCCAGTCATGTAGAATCACCCAGACCAGATGTGTATTGTGTTCTAAGTCAGGAAGACCAGGTCTTAAAATCACTTGAGTTAGATGTGGGAAAAACTCCTGGTCAGGAGACCCAGCTCATCCATTTAGCCAGGGTCATGCAGCTACCTGGGGCAGTTATGGGAAATGTTTCTGAAAAGGAATCTGAACTCATAATGTCTCCCAGAGCAGATGGAGACAGTGCTTTTGGTCAGGAAGCGAAGGTCCTGGAGTTAGCCAGGTTGGATGAGGAAAATGTTCTTTGTAAGGAAGTTGGGCTCCTAAAATCAGCTGAGCTAGACAGAGATAATCACCCAGGCCAGGAAATCGGGCTCCTTCAGTCACCTGGTCTAGATGTGGATGTTTATCCTAGTTATGAAGCCAGGCTCCTAGGGTCATACCAGCCAGGTGTAGGTGATGGAACAGAGTTACACCGGCTAATTGTGAGAAATGTTTCTGATCAGGCAGCTGCTTTCATGACATCACCTGAGGCAGATGCTCCTAGCCAGGAACTTGGGCTCGTAGGGTCACCTGGGCCAGAAGGGGATGATATCCCCGGCCAGAAAGCCAGGTTTATGGAGTCATGGGAGATAGACATCAAAGATGTTTCTGGTAAGGAGGCTCAGGTTTTGCACTCACCTGGCCCAGATGTGGAAGAGACTCCTAGACAGGAAAATGTACTCATGAGTTCACCTGGGCCAGATGTGGCTGATGCTATTGGTCAGGAAATCTGGACAGGTGTAGGTGATGCTGCTGTTCAGGATGCTAGAGTCACAGAGTTGTGTTGGGGTAATGCCAGAAATACTTCTGATCAGGGATCTGGACTCATAGAGTTACCTGAGCTACATATAGATGACACTCCTGGTCAGGAAAGTGGGTTTATTCAGTCAGGTAAAACAGACATGGAAGATACTTCTGGTCAGGAAGGTGAGACTCTGTATTCACCTGGCTTAGATAATGGTGCTATTCCTCGCCAGGGAGCTGGGTATGGCGAGTCAACTGGGTCAGATGTGAGTGATATGGCCATTCAGGAAGCTGGACTCATGAATTCATCAGATCTAGCAAATTCTCCTGGTCAGGAAGACAAGTTCATGGAGTTACCTGAGACAGATGTAGGTACAACTGCTATTCAAGAATCTGAGCTCATAGATGTAGAATCTGGGCTGGATGTGAGGGACACTCCTGGCCAGGAAACCAGGCTCTCTGAGTCGCCCAGGCCTGATGTAGGTGGTACCTTTTTGTACTCACCTGGCCCAGGTGTGAGAGATGCTCTTAGTCAGGAAGTTAGGCTCATTGAACCACCTAGGATGGATGTGGATAATGCTACTGTTCAGGGACCTGGGGTCACAGAGCTGTCTAAGGCTGATGTGGGAGATGCTTCTGATCAAGAAACTAGGCTCCTAAGATCACCTAAGATTGATGCTCCTAGTGGGGAAACTGGGCTAATAGAGTCCCTTAGTCCAGAGATGGGAGATGCTCCTGGTCAGGAAGCTAAGTTTAGGGAATTGTGTGAGACAAGTGTGGGAGATGCTGAGATTGCTGAGATGATATGTTCGCCAGACCCAGATATGGGTGATTCTCCTGATCAGGAAGCTGGGATGGTGGAGTTACATGGGCTATATGTGAGTGAGAGCCCTATTCAGGAAGCCAGAGTCTTGGAGTCATCTGAAACAGATGTGAGTGATGGTCCTGGTGAAGAAATTCTGAGTAGTGAATCATATGAGGCAGGTGTGGGAAATGCATCTGCTCAAGATACTGAAATTATACACGCACTTAGACCAGGTGTGAGTGATTCTGTTGGTCTGGAAGCTGAGATCATGCATTCACCTGGCCCACATGTGGGAGATTCTCCTGGTCAGGAAGCTGGGGTCACAGAATTGCACAGGCCTGATGTGGGAAATGCTTCTGATCAGGAAACCAGATTCATGCCATCAACTGAGACAGATGTGAAGGATGCTGCTAGTCAGGAAGCTGGGTTTAGGGAGTCATTTGAGGTAGCTGTGGGGGACATGCCTGGTCAGGAAGCTGAGATTATGCATTCACCTGATCCAGATATGGAAGATTCTCCTGGTCAGGAAGCTGGGCTCAAGGAGTCATCAGTACTGGATCTGGGAGGGGCTCCTGGTCAGGAAGGCAGGTTCATGGAGTTACCTGAAGCAGGTGTGGATGATGGGTCTAATCAGGTTGGGCAGACAGGGTCACTTGGGTCAGATGTGAGGGATACTCTTGGCCAGGAAAGTGGGTTTAGGGAGTCTTTTGAGATAGATGAGGAAGATACTTTCGGGCTCATGGAGTCACCAGTGCCAGGTCTGGGAGAGAACCCTGGTCAGGAAGGCACATTCTTAGAGTCACCTAAGGAGGGTGTAGATGATGGATCTAGTCAGGTAACTGAGCAGACAGGGTCACCTGGGCCAGACATGGGAGGTGCTTCTGGTCAGGAAGCTGGGTTTAGGGAATCTTATGAGATAGATATGAGAGATGCATTGGGTAAGGAAGTTGAGTTTCTATATTCACTTGGCCCAGATGGGGATGATGCTACTGGTCAAGGAAATCTGATGTTAGAGACACATGAACCAGATGTGGGGGATGCTTCAAGTTCTGGTGAGATAGCTGGACTTAGAGAGTCATATGGACCAGAGATGGGTGATATTCCTAGTCAGGAAGCTGAGACCATGCACTCACCTGGCCCAGAGAGGTGTGATGCTTTTGGGCAGGAGGCTAAGTTTAGGGAATTGTATGAGACAGATGTGGGAGATGCCAAGATTATGTATTCACCAGTCCCAGATATGAGTGATTCTCCTGGTCAGGAAGCTATAGTCATGGAGTCACCTGATACAGATGTGGGTGATGGTCCTGGTCAGGAAGTTATGATTAGAGAGTCGTATGAGGCAGATGTGGGAAGTGCTTCTGCTCAAGATGCTGAAATTATGCGCTCACCTGGGCCAGGTGTGAGTGATTCTGCGGGTTTGGAAGCTGAAATCCTGCATTCACCTGGCCCAAATGTGGGAGATTTTATTGGTGAGGAAGCTGAGGTCATGGAACTGCACAGGCCAGATGTGGGAAATGCTCCTTGTCAGGAAGCCAGATTCATGCCATCATCTGAGACAGATGTGAGTGATGCTCCTGGTCAGGAAGCTGGATTTAGGGAGTCTTGTGAGACAAATGTAAGAGATTCATTGGATAAGGAAGTTGATGTTCTACACTCACTTGACCCAGAAGGAAATGATGCTGTTGGTCAAGGAATTCTGATGCTAGAGATGCATGAGCCAGATGTGGGGGATGCTTCCAGTCCTGGTCAGGTAGATGAGTTTCTAGAGTCATATGGACCAGAAATTGGTGATATCCCTTGTCAGGAAGCTGAGGCCATGCATTCACCTGGCTCAGATAGGTGTGATGCTATTGGTCAGGAAGCTAAGTTTAGAGAATCATGGGAGACAGATGTGGGAGATTCTCATGGCCAGGAAGCTAAGTTTAGGGAATTGTGTGAAACAGATGTGGGAGATACTGAGACTGCTGAGATGATATGTTCACCAGACCCAGATAGGAGTGATTTTCCTGATCAGGAAGCTAGGGTTGTAAAGTTACATGGGCTATATGTGAGTGACACCCCTGTTCAGGAAGCCAGAGTCTTGGAGTCACCTGAAACATACGTGAATGATGATCCTGGTCAGGAAGTTGTGATTAGTGAATCATATGAGGCAGATGTGGGAAATGCCTCTGATCAAGATACTGAGATTATGCACACACCTAGACCAGGTGTGAGTGATTCTGCAGGTTTGGAAACTGAGAGCATGCATTCACCTGGCCCAAATGTGGAAAAGTCTTCTGGTCAGGAAGTTTGGGTCACAGAATTGCATAGGCCAGATGTGGGAAATGCTCCTGATCAGGAAGCTAGATTCATGCCATCATTTGAGGCAGATGTGAGTGATGCTGCTGGTCAAGAAGCTGAGATTCTGCATTCACCTGGTCCAGATGTGGAAAATTCTGGTCAGGAAGCTGGACTCAAGGAGTCATCAGTGCTAGATCTGGGAGAGACCCCTGGTCAGGAAGGCACATTCTTAGAGTCACCTGAGGAAGGTGTGGATAATGGATCTAATCAGGTAACTGAGCAGACAGGGTCACCTGGGCCAGACATGGGGGGTGCTTCTGGTCAGGAAGCTGGGTTTAGGGAATCTTATGAGATAGATATGAGAGATGCATTGGGTAAGGAAGTTGAGTTTCTATATTCACTTGGCCCAGATGGGGATGATGCTACTGGTCAAGGAAATCTGATGCTAGAGATGCATGAGCCAGATGTGGGGGATGCTTCCAGTCCTGGTCAGGTAGATGAGTTTCTAGAGTCATATGGACCAGAAATTGGTGATATCCCTTGTCAGGAAGCTGAGGCCATGCATTCACCTGGCTCAGATAGGTGTGATGCTATTGGTCAGGAAGCTAAGTTTAGAGAATCATGGGAGACAGATGTGGGAGATGCTCCTGGTCAGGAAGCTAAGTTTAGGGAATTGTGTGAAACAGATGTGGGAGATACTGAGACTGCTGAGATGATATGTTCACCAGACCCAGATAGGAGTGATTTTCCTGATCAGGAAGCTAGGGTTGTAAAGTTACATGGGCTATATGTGAGTGACACCCCTGTTCAGGAAGCCAGAGTCTTGGAGTCACCTGAAACATACGTGAATGATGATCCTGGTCAGGAAGTTGTGATTAGTGAATCATATGAGGCAGATGTGGGAAATGCCTCTGATCAAGATACTGAGATTATGCACACACCTAGACCAGGTGTGAGTGATTCTGCAGGTTTGGAAGCAGAGATCATGCATTCACCTGGCCCAAATGTGGGAGAGTCTTCTGATCAGGAAGCTTGGGTCACAGAATTGCATAGGCCAGATGTGGGAAATGCTCCTGATCAGGAAGTCACATTCATGCCATCATTTGAGGAAGATGTGAGTGATGCTGCTGGTCAGGGAGCTGAGATTCTGCATTCACCTGATGCAGATGTGAACGATTCTCCTGGTCAGGAAGCTGGACTCAAGGAGTCATCAGTGCTAGATCTGGGAGGGGCTCCTGGTCAGGAAGGCAGGTTAATGGAGTTACCTGAGACAGGTGTGGATTATGGGTCTAATCATCAGGTTGGGCAGACAAGGTCATTTGAGTCAGATGTGAGGGATACTCTTGGCCAGGAAGGTGGGTTTAGGGAGTCTTTTGAGATAGATGAGGAAGATACTTTTGGGCTCATGGAGTCACCAGTGCCAGGTCTGGGAGAGACTCCTGGTCAGGAAGGCACATTCTTAGAGTCACATGAGGAAGGTGTGTCTAGTCAGGTAACTGAGCAGACAGGGTCACCTGGGCCAGACATGAGGGATGCTCCTGGTCAGGAAGCTGGGTTTAGGGAATCTTATGAGACAGATATGAAAGATGCATTGGGTAGGGAAGTTGAGTTTGGTCCAGATGGGGATGATGCTACTGGTCAAGGAATTCTGATGCTAGAGACACATGAGCCAGATGTGGGGGATGCTTCAAGTTCTGGCGAGGTAGCTGTACTTATAGAGTCATGTGGACCAGAAATGGGTGATATTCCTAGTCAGGAAGCTGAGACCATGCACTCACCTGGCCCAGAGAGGTGTGATGCTTTTGGGCAGGAGGCTAAGTTTAGGGAATTGTATGAGACAGATGTGGGAGATGCCAAGATTATGTATTCACCAGTCCCAGATATGAGTGATTCTCCTGGTCAGGAAGCTATAGTCATGGAGTCACCTGATACAGATGTGGGTGATGGTCCTGGTCAGGAAGATATGATTAGAGAGTCATATGAGGCAGATGTGGGAAGTGTGTCTGCTCAAGATATTGAAATTATGTGCTCACCTGGGCCAGATGTAAGTGATTCTGCTGGTTTGGAAGCTGAAATCCTGCATTCACCTGGTCCAAATGTGGGAGATTTTCCTGGTCAGGAAGCTGGGCCCCAGGAGTCATCGGTGCTAGATCTGGGAGGGGCTCCTGGTCAGGAAGCTGGGCTCCAGGAGTCATTGATGCTAGATCTGGGAGGGGCTCCTGGTCAGGAAGCTGGGCTCCAGCAGTCATCGGTGCTAGATCTGGGAGGGGGTCCTGGTCAGGAAGGCAGATTCTTGGAGTTACCTGAGGAAGGTGTGGGTGATTGGTCTTGTCAACAGGCTGAGCAGATAGGGTCACCTGGGCCAGATGTGAGGGATGCTCCTCATCAGGAAACTGAGATTTTGCAGTCCCCCAGCAGAGATGTGGGTGATGATTTTCATCAGGGAACTGACAGTCTCATAGACTCCTCTAGGCCAGTAGTGGATATTCTTTCTGATGAAGTCCAACTCCCAGAGTCACCTGGGCCAACTGTAGGGGATGCTCCTGAGCAAAAACCTGGCAACATAGAGTCCCCCAGGCCAGATGTACTGCCTGTCATTCCAGAACGTGGAGGACTGCGGAACCAGAACCCAGAAGATGTGCGGAGAGCTGAGGACAGGGGACTCCAGAGGCAAGCTCAGGAAGGGTCCTTGTTCCCAAAGGATTCTTCTGGGAATACACTTGGCCCTCAGGATTCAGGACAAGCTCTTTCCATCCTGGTGGAGGCAGGAGCACAGTCTGGATCCAAAGTCCTGGAAGAACAAATAACACCCCTTTCCTCAGAACCAAGGGAAGAAAATGGGTCAGGAGTCACTAAAGCAACCAAAACCCAGGCAGCTGGAGCCAGCCCAGGGGTAAAGTCTTCTGAGCCTGATTACCTCTTCCATGTTCTTTTCCTGGGAGATTCCAATGTGGGCAAAACATCATTTCTGCACTTGTTACACCATGATTCCTTTCCTGCAGGCCTGACAGCAACTGTAGGTAAGATTCCTGGCCCTGGGTATGGGGGAAGGGATGGAAGTTTAGACTCAGAGGAGTCTCAGAGAACCTCATACCTTGCAAGGGGAAGCCAAAGGTTGTCTTACCCTTATGCATAAGCAAAATAGATGCTTGTTATAGGATTTGAGGGCAGCGAGGTGGTACAGTGGATAAAGTGCTGGGCCTGGAATCAGGAAAACCTGAGTTCAAATCTGGCCTCAGACGTTTACTAGTTATATGACCCTGGGCAAGTCACTTAACCCTGTTTGCCTCAGTTTCCTCATCTGTAAAATGAGCTGGAAAAGGAAACAGCAAACCACTCCAGTGTCTTTGCCAAGAAAACCCCAAATGTGGTCACCAAGAGTTGAAAACGACTGAACAACAATAACAACAAAATAGGATTTAGAAAACAATGGCAATCTCTCCTCTAGTTAGGAATGGCTCTTTTGTAGAGTCAGGAGACCTAAGTTCAAATGCTACCTCTGATATTAACCAAGCTGTGTGACTTTATGTGAGCCACTTTTTTCCCCCTCTGTTTTCTTATCTGTGAAATGGGGATAATAATACTTGTACTACCTACCTTCTCCAGTCCACCACTCCCAAAATTCTATCCCTTCCACATAGGATTTAGGCTTGGAAAGATTATCTAGCCAAATGCCCCCATTTAACAGATGAAGAATAAAGCCCAGAGAGATGAAATCACTTGCAAAAGGTCACAGGTCACCCAGTAGTCACCCTCCACAAATTGTGGGGGGTAGGGATTGGAGGTAGTGATGGAGAGAAGTGACTTCCAGGTCTGGTGACTTGACTGAGAAATAGCAGTGTTGTAAGGAAAGCTCTGGTCCTGCAGACGGAAGATCTGGGTTCTGGTCCTACATCGTTTACTTACTAGTAATGTGACCCTGGACAAGTCATTTCTCTCTGCACTTCAGTTACTTCAGCTGCCAAATTGGGTGAGGGGGAGGACTGGATTAAGTGTTCATTAATGTCACAACTCTGACAGGCTATGAATCTAAAATCACTTCATTTCTCAGACCTTTATTTTCCTTATCCATAAAATGAGGATAAGAATACTTACACTCCTTTACAAGGCTGATCTGAGAAAAGTGCTTTGCAAACTTTAAAGGACTGGGTTTTTGTTTGCTTGTTCATTTTTGCTTTTTTGGACTCCATCTGTAATTCCATTCGCTGTAGGGAATTAAGGTAAGGGCACTCTCTGCCAATGCACATCAGTACCTACTTAGCAATTTACATTCTGACAGCATTGACTGGGTCACTTAGAGGTTAAGTGACCTGGGTCAAGTTTATTCACTTTTCTGAAACCTCAGTTTCCTCACCTGTAAAATGGGGATATTCATGTCTTCACTACCCACTTTGCAAGGTTATCATGAGTGAGGCTCAAATGGGGTCATGGATATGAAAGTGTTTTGTAAACTGTAAGATTCCATATAAATAATATCTCACTTACATGGACACAGCTAGGTGTGCTGGGCCTGGAAGCAGGAAGACCTGAGCTCAAATGGGCTTCAGGCACTTACCAGCTATGTGAATCACTGTGTGACTTTATGTGAGTCACTTTTTTTCCCCTCTTAACCTCTGTTTGCCTCAGTTTTCTCATGTGTAAAATGGGGGTGATGATAGGACCTCCCTCTGAGGGTTGTTATGAGGATCAAATGAGGTGATACTTGTAAAGCTCCCAGAACAGTGCCTGGCACATAGTAGGTGCTTAGTAAATACTTCCTTCGTTCCTTTAACATTGCAAAGCTGTATGTCGCATATCATCTCCTCTCAGTTTTACAACAACACTATGAATGAGATGCTGTTATTATCACAGATGGAGAAACTGAGGCTGAGGGGGACTTTCCTAACAACTACTAAGTGTCTGAAATAGCATATATTATACACGTTTGTACATTGTCGTATAAATACATATATATGTGTATATATATGTTTATATATATGTATATATATATATTTGTGTGTATGTACTTTGTGTGTGTATGATCCCTTATATACACAAATATTATGTGTGTACGTGTGTATATATGTATATTTGTGTCTACATGTACATATATGATACATGTGCACACACATATTGTCATATATGTATGTACACATAGATTTTGTGTATATATACATTTTTGTGTATATTCTAAATGCACACACGTGTTGTATATATACAAGTACACACATAAATATATTTGTATTTATATACACTTATTTATATATTATGTGTTTGTACATGTATGCTGTGCATATACATATATGCATATACATATATACATAAATATTTGTGTATATACATTTATATATAATATGACACATCTACATTATTGTATATATACATATGTGTATATATATTTATATTTTATGTTTATTAATTAACTATATTATATAAAATATAAATGTATTTTGTGTGTATGTATGTATGTGTGTGTGTGTGTGTGTGTGTGTGTGTGTGTGTGTGTGTGTGGAGAGAGAGAGAGACAGAGCACAAGCTTACTGGAATGAGGGAGGGCATTACTAGCAGCTGGGTCGTTTCCCTTCTCTCTAGACTGTAAGCTCAAATAGCAGGACTATTTCACTTTTGCCTTTGTATCTTCAGCATCTAGCATAGTGCCTGGCACATAGTAGGTACTTAATAAATGCTTATTGATTGATTGTCATTTCATTCTAAGCAGGGTCACTGAGGGTGACCTTGGTTTTGGGATGTGGGAATAATAATAATTGCTCCCATTTGTATAGGGTTTTAAGGTTAACAAAGAGTTTTAAAAAATCATTTATTATTGTCATTAGTTCTCAAAAGACTTCTGTGAGGTAGGTGCTATTATTATACCCATTTTATAGAGAAGCCAACTGAAGCTGGGAGAGGTTTAGTCACTTGCCCAGGGCCATACAAATACACATCTGAGGTGGAGTTTAAGCCCAGGTCTTTCTGTCTCTCAGTCCAATGCTCTAGCCACTAGAGGCTGAACCCTGAATGGGGCCCTGCCTCTCATCTCTCCAATGTATCCTAGGGATGGATTATCGGATCAAAAACCTGGTGGTGGATGATAAATGGTTTGCGCTGCAGCTCTGGGACACAGCGGGGCAAGAGAGGTAATGAGCCTTCTTCATTGTCAAAGTCTGCCGGGGACTCCAATGGGGGCTCGGTGATGGGGTATAGAGAAAAAGGGAGGGGAGGGAAGCACAGAGGAGCAAGGCATAGTTCAATCGCACCATCTGGGAGAACAGGGTACCCACACATAGGAAAAGATTCAATAGAAGACAAGAGGTGTTACCCTTGGCCATTAGCTTCTGGGCCTCCCAGGATAATAGATTTGTAGATGGAAGGGACCTCAGAGGCCATCCGGGGCACCCTTCTCATTTTACAGGTGAGGAAACTGAAGCCCAAAGAGGAACTTGCCCAGGATTACACAGGTAGCAAAAGTTGGGATTTGAACTGAGGTACTTTGATTCCAAAGGGCAGCTAGGTGGTGCAGTGGATAGAGTGCTGAGTCTGGAGTCAAGAAGACTCACCTTAGGGAGTTCAAATGTGACCTCAAACACTTACTAGCTGTGTGACCATGGGCTAGTCACTTCACCATGTTTGCCTCAGTTTCCTCATCTGTAAAATGAGCTGGAGAAGGAAATGGTAAACCACTCTAGTATCTTTGCCAAGAAAACCCCAAAGAGGGTCACAAAGAGTCAGACACGATTAAACCTTTGATTCCAAATCTGGTGTTCTGAAGGAGGAATCACTAAGGTCTATGGTGTCCTACCTTAGCAGAAGTGAGTCATTTCTCTTTTCTGGGCTTCTGTTCCTTCATCTGTAAAATGGGACAGTCTATCTATCTTTCTATCTATCCATTCATCCATCCATCCATCTATCCATCCATCCATCTGTCTATCTATCCATCCATCTATGTATCTATCCATCCATCCATCTATCCATCTATCTATCTATCTATCTATCTATCTATCTATCTATCTATCTATCTATCCATCTATCTAAGGCTTTTTTTCCCTGCTTTTTATCCGAAGATATGTCTCAAATTCCCTAAGCCTGAGTTCTCACAGGGACAACTTATCTGCTGCCCAACACCAGGGGGCTAAGTCGATAATGATCTCTGGTGTGCCCTTCCAACTCTCAGAGCTAAGATTTTTCTGTTGCTTAAGACAGCCTGTCTTACTAGGAATCTCCTGGTAGGTACCACAGCATAACCAAGCAGTTTCTCCGGAAGGCCGATGGTATTGTGCTCATGTATGATGTCACCTGCCCAGAAAGCTTCACCCATGTGCGCTACTGGTTGGACTGCATCCAGGTGAGTGGGGTTGCTGCCTGGGCTGGTCCTGGCTAGAGGGGGCCAGCACACTGTATATTTGCTGTTCATCTCCTTTCCCTAGCAGGAGCATGGATTTGACAAAGGAGGGGGTAGGTGTCCCTACCCTCCAAATAGATATGGTGGGGTGAGTGAGGAGAAAACAGGTCCAATACTATGAAACCACAACCACACAGTGGAGCCCTGAACAAAAACTACTTCCTGCATATCCTGTGATTTTTCCCTACTCGATGTTAACCCTGGATATAGTCACAATACCCTGTCCTTGGCTGTCATGGAGACCTGCAACTCTTGCACTAGGTCATGTGATAGGTAGGCTCATTCTGCCCCAACTTCCTAATCAGTTGATCAATAAGACTTTATTGAGGCTCTGCGATAACTCCAACTCAGGGCTACTTGCTGAGAGGAATCTAGGAGAAATAATAAGCATGGTGCCTGCCCGCAACGAGGTCATATTCTATTTGGGGAGAAAGGGTACATATATGCTATATACATATCTATTCACAAACATTTTATTTACACATTTATTTATTATATATTTATATGTGCATATAATATACACATGCACACATGTATGCACACACAGAGAACATGTGTACAATGCAATTCACATATACATATAACTCAACACATGTGCTTTGTATACTACACTCATATGTATACATGCACACATGTTCGTAGACTATCTATATGTGTACAATGCAATGTGCATGTATACACACATTCTTGTGTACCTACATATACATACATATATACATATATCTATGTGTATACATACATGCTTATACACACAAATATATGAATATGTTTATATCCATGGAGGCACCTAGGTGGCTGAGTGGATAGAGTGCTATGCCTGGAGTTAGGAAGATCTGAGTTCACATCCAACTTCAGACCCTTACTAGTTGTGTGATCCTGGGCAAGTCACTTAACCTCTGTTAGCCTTAATTCACTTAAAAAGGAAATGGCCAGCCACTCCAATATCTCTGTCAAGAAAACCCCAAAGATAGTATTGGCATGCTATGGTCCACGGAGTCACAGAGTCAGACATAACTCAACAACAACAACAATGTTTATATATACATCTATACAATATTGTGTACATGCATGCACATATCTATGCACTTCTCTATATATGTACATATAAACACATAGACATAAAAAAGTATATTTACATACACATGTGTCGGTATGCATGCATACAGCATACGTACGCATCTATGTGTGTATACACATATACGTCTCTTTATATGTATATGTATATACACACATACACACATACATGCATGCATGCACCCATGTATCTCCAAGTGGTATATTGCAGAGCTCAGGTGAGAGGAGCCCACATTTCTAGGACACTTTAGAGCTTCCAAAGTAGTTTCCTCACACTTACCCAATGAAGTTCATAGTGCAAGTATTAATATCCCCATGATATGACTGAGCAGTTATGAACTTCATAAGGTCACACAGCTCAGGAGTGTCGGAGAAGGGACTCAAACCCAGGTCTGAGGACTCCTCCTTTTCTGCCTTTGCTCTTTGCTGCCTTTCTTTGTGTGTGTGTGTGGAGGGGGGCAGCAAGGTGGCTCAATCAATAGAGTGCCAGGCCTGGAGTGAGGAGGACCTGGATGCAAATTCAGCCTCAGACACTTCCTAGCTGTGTGACCTTGGGCAAATCACTTCACCTTATTTGCCTCAGTTTCCTCATCTGTAAAATGGGCTGGAGAAGGAAATGGCAAACCGCTCCAGTGTCTTTGTCAAGAAAACTGCAAATGGGATCATGAAGAGTCGGACATGATAACTGAACAACAACAACAAAAACAAAACTGGAGTTGAGAAAAAGAAGACATCTCTGTGGGGCTGGAGTAATCAAGGAAGGTTTTGCACTCACAAGCACTGCCCTCACCATGATGCTGGCTATTTGGTAGGGAGGATGAACATGCAGAGATCTGAGAAACTAAGGCTCATAGCGTTTATCAAGTGACTTGCACAGGGTGACACAGGTAGCAGGTATCAGAGCCTGGATCAGAAACTAGATTTGCTGACTCAAGACCCAATCCAATAAGCATTTATTAAGTACCTACTACATACAGAGAGATATTGGGATAGGTGCCAGGAGTACAAAGACAAAGTGAAAATCAATCCTTGCCCTCAGGATGTGCCATTCTACTGGGAGGACATAATGTGTAAACACACACACACACTTGATCATATGAGTAGGGAGCATGCATTAACAACCAGAGGGATCAGGAAAGTCTTCCTATAGAAGGCAGCACTTGAGTTGAGCCTTAAAGAAAGCTAGGGGAGAAAGAAGGAGAAGAAAAAGGAAAACAAGCATTTATTAAGCACCTACTATGTGCCAGGCACTATGCTAAGTGCTTTACAAATTTGATCCCTAGCTCATTTGATCTAGGGATTTTTAAATATGTAGAAACAGAAGGTAGCACAATCCAGGAGTGGTTATGGGAGATGGAATGCCTGGCTTAGGTAACTATAAATAGGTCAGTTTGGTTGGAATGTCTAGAGGGCATAAAGGTAGGGTGAAATATCTGGAAAGGTAGAGCGTAGAAGCTTTAGGTCCCATTAGGAGGCTGTTGTAATAGACTCAGCAAGAACTAATAAAAGACTGACAGCATGGTGGCCATGAGAGAAGGGGGATAGATGTGAGAGGTGTATTGGAGACTTGATTGGACATTGACTGGGGAAGGAGATGAAGGACAGGGAAGAGATGAGGAGGACTCTGTCATTGTGAGTCCTGTTGACTGGATGATGGTGCTCTCAAGAGAAGTAGAAAAGTGATGGTAGGTTTGGGAACAAAGACGGTGGATTCTGTTTGGGACACGTTGAGTTTGAGATGTTGATGGAACAACAAAGTGGAGTTGTCCAACAGTTTGTGATGTAGGTAGGCTGGAAGCTCAAGAGAGATAAGAGCTAGGACTCATCTCCATGGATTTAGTAATTAAACCCACTGGAACTAATGAAATCACCAAGAGGGGAATGTAGGGAGAATGAGAAGAGGTCCAAAGACAGAGGCTTGGGGGACATCCATGGTTAAATAGGGTTATTGGATGATGACCCAGAAAAGAAGGTGGATGAGTGGACAGACAGGAAGAAGGAGAATCAGGAGAGAGGGGGGTAATGAAAACTGGGAGAGGAAAATGTACAAAGGAGGCAGATGGGTGCTCAGGAGTGAGGTCAAGAAAGGCAAGGATTGAATAAAATTGGATTTAGTCATTACAAGATCTTTGGTAACCTTGGAGAGATCAGTTTCAGGAACCAGATCACAATGGGTTAAGAAGTGATCAGGAGGAGAGAAAGTGGAGGTAATGAGTGTAGATAGCTTTCTCTAGGTCCAGAACACTTTTTAAAAAACAACTTCTTAAAATTTTGAATTTAGCAATTATCAATAAACACAGGCATTCTGATATACAAAGAACAAAGAAGAGAATTGTGTATGAAACTGTGAACTGCTGCTCTGTACAGTTTGTTTTTCTTTAAGTGCATATTAAATTTAACAAGGTAGTAATAAAACCACCCTGCCCCCACCCCTTAGTAACCCTCCCTTGTAACAAGTTTTAATAGAGTCAAGCAAAACAAATCAACACATTGGCCATGACCAAAAATGTGAGTCTCATTCTGTACCCCAAGTCCATCATGTCTCTGGGAAGAGATTGGAGAGGCACACTTCACCATCAGCATTCTGAAGTCATGATTGGTCACTGGGGTCACAGTCCTGAAGTTTTTCAGTGCTGTTTTCCTTCATATTACTGTGGTCATTGTGTAAGCTGTTCTGGTTCTGCTCACTCTATTCTGTGTCAGTTCAAACAATTCTTGTCCAATTTCCCTGAACTCTTCATATCCATCTTATAGTGAAATAATAATCCAATACAGTCATATGCCACCAGCTGTTCAGCCATTGCCAAATGGAGGGGTGCCCACTTTACTTCCAGCTGACTACTATGCAATATGTTTTCCACCTATACCTGCCATAAAGAGTGAGACCTTAGACCAGGAGGGCCTTGAAGGTAATTGAATGCTCTAAGTAGACAAGAAGCCTGAGCAAAGATAATAAAGGCAGATAGAACTTAGTGTATTCGGGGGATAGAGAGTTAAGAAATAGCTCTGATTGGAGCAGAGGGGAGCACGTGGGTAAGCTCAGGTTAGCTAAGTAGAATAGGCCTAACCTTTTGAGGGCTCAGATTTTATCTTATTTCTGCCTAGTCTTCAGCCCCTCAGAACCTGTCCCTCTTCCTTCCCAATTCTGCCCTTTGAACTCAGAGAATGGAGCCTTAAAGAGGCTCCCCTTTGGGGTTTCTTGGAATGAAAGGAAATTGTGCTCCCTTTCTACACAAAACAGTGCATATGTGTGTGTTGTACTGCAGGAAGCAGGACCTGATGATGTTGTCATCCTCCTCCTTGGGAACAAGATAGACTGTGTGAAGGAGAGGCAGGTGTCCACAGAGGCTGGACAGTTCCTGGCCAAGGTGAGTGTCCTGGTGAGCATGCCAGACATGCTTGTTCTCAGAGGAGGGACAGTTCCTGTGAGATGGAGGCAGAGCTGCCCCCTAGTCATGGCAACCTAGGGGCAAATTCAACAGAAGCCACACTGCAAGGGACCTAGGCAGTAGGACTGCACAGGGGACAGGAGAAGGAGGCAGTATGGTGTAGTAGAAGTCGTAATGGTTTTAAAATCATAAGATTTAGGTTTGAAACCTGGTTGTTTTTTTTAACCAACTACCTATGTAGCCTTGAGTAAATTACTGTACTTTTCTGGTTTTCAGTTTCTTCATCCATATCAATCAATAAAAAAAAAACTATTAAGCAGACCACTGGCCCTGGAGTCAAGGGGACCTGAGTTCAAATCTGGCCTCAGACACTTGATACTTACTAGCTGTGTGACCCTGGACAAGTCACTCAACCACATTGCCTAGCCAAAAAAAAAAAAGTAAAAAACAAAACAAAACTATTAAGCGCATATTATGTGTCAGGTACTATGCTAAGTGTATCAAAAAGAGGTAAAAGACAGTCCTTGCTCACATTCTAATATGAATAGGAATGGCTAATAGAAGCTAATAGTCTATTAATTTTTTGGTTTGTAGTTGTCCTTCATTCTCGAAAAGGACCAAAATGACATCACCGTATTGGGGTCAAGGTCCACTGTGTCCAAGTGTGGAAGCTTAGACCAATATGAGCTCAGAATGCTCTACTACAGGTTGGGCACAGATTCTAACGAGGGAGACAATGAACAAGGAAATATATTCAAAACAAGCTACATACAGGATAAATGGGAAATAATGAACAGAGGGAAGGCACTATAATTAAGAGAGGTTGGGAAAGGCTTCCAATAGAAGGGGGGATTTTAGTTGAGACTTAAAAGAAGCCAGGGAGGTCAGTATGTGGAGTTGAGGGAGAAGAGCTTTCCAGGCACGGGGGACAGACATTTGTAATGGGAAGCTGGCCTCTGGTATGAGCTCCTGACCTTTCAAGATTTTATAAGGCCCTGTGTCAAAAGAGGCTGCCCCATCCCAGACACACTTTTGCCTAAGAGGTCAAGAGGTCATGTACTTATTAGATTCAAGAGGACTCAAGGCTCCTCCCCACCCAGAAGCTCTCAGCAGTTTATCCTCCTCATTCAAATGCAGCCAGGAAAGAAAAGAGGTCTGTTTTTGACTATTTGGTGCCTTTTGCTTGCACACCAAGTCTTGGCTCAGCAACCAGTCAAAAGGCCCCTCTTTGCTACACAGGAAACAGTTGAAAGATACCTGTCCACAGAGCAGGATCCTCCATTATGCATGCATGGAAGCAGGCTTTCCAAGCATCCACTGGGGGATTGCGTCAGGCAGAGCAAACTGCACGTGTAGCTGAGGACTGAGCTCTCATTGGCCAGTCCCCTGTTAGACTCAAAGTAAGGGGATTGGATCAAATGATCTCTGAAGTCTCCTCCAGTTCTAGAACCATTTGATTTACTTAGATAATTAATAAAAAGACCTATGTGGGAGTGGATCCAGGATGTCAGAAAGAGAGGAGGAAGCCTGGCTCCTCACACACCCCATAGAAAACACCAAAGAGAAGAAAAATGGCTAAAATGGTAAATGGCTAAAATGAAAACCAATAAAATTTTAGAGGAGCAAAGCTGAAGGCAATTCTGTTTTTTAAAAAATACTATTAACTAGCTGAATGAGCTAATATATCAGAAATACTAGAGGTGGAAAAAGAAACCAGACGTAGATATTCCAATCAATCAATGTTCCCATCAGTTTTGTTGTTCATTCATTTCAATAGCATTTGGTTCTTTGTAATCCCATTTGAGGTTTTCTTGGGAAAGACACTGGAGTAGTTTGGCATTTCCTTTTCCAGATCATTTTACAGATGAGGAAACTGAGGCAAACAGGGTGAAGTGACTTGCCCAGGGTCACACAGCTAGTCTGAGGCTGGATTTGAACTCAGGTCTTCCCTGACTCCAGGCACAGCATTTCTATCCACTGCACCACCTAGCTGCCTGATCTACAAGATATTCCAATCAATGAAGAACCAATCAATTAAGAACCTTACATGTGTTATTAAGCACCTGCTATGTGCCAGGCACTGTGCTATTTGGCCAGGGATAAAAACAAAAATAGAATAGCCCCTGCACTCAGGGAGTTTATATTTTAACATGACAATGTGTATATATGAGCATATAAACAAAATATGGACCAAGTAAACACAAAGCAATTTGGGGAAGGAGCAGGACGTTAGTTGTGGGGGGAGTGAGGAAAAGCCTCATGGAGGAGAAGGCACTTGAGCTGAACTTTGAAGGAAAGTAAAGATCCAGAGAGGGAGAGAGGAGAGTGGAGTGCATTCCAGGCATGGGAGAGGACAGCTCATGCCCAAGAAAGAGATGAGTGTTATTTGTGAAGAGCTTTGAGAAGTCTGGTTTGACGTGATCAGGAAATGTGTGAAGGGAAGTAATGTATCACAAGCTTGGGGAAGTAGACTAGAGCCAGGCTGGAAAGGGCTTTTAATGCCAAACAGAGGAGATTATATTTGGTTCTAAAGTTAATAGAAAGCACCCTATTAAAAGAAATGAAACATAAACTGGGAAAGCTAAGAAAACCACAAAGTCCGTTTTAAAAGTTGAAGAAAGTAAAAACTCTCTCACACACACAAAGTTGAAGTGAGAATTTTAAAAACAAAATTGAGAATTATTAAAAATTAAATTAGAGCAGGTAGGTGGCACAGTGGATAGAGCACTGGCCCTGGATTCAGGAGAACTTCAGTTCCAATCCAGCCTCAGACACATAGCACTTACTAGCTATGTGACCCTGGACAAGTCACTTAACCCCATTGCCTAGCCAAAAAAAAATTTTAATTAAAAAAATTTAATGAAGAAAATTATCTGTGTGGAGAATAGTATAGAAAACCTCAAAAAGAAAATGGAAGCAACTAGCATCAGATATAAGCCCAGAGCCAATGGAATTGAACCAATGCTGAGGCTCCTATGATGTCTTACATTTATGTAGTGGGCTCTGCACAGTGATAACTCTATATCTCCACCTAGACTTCCTCTGCTCCCATGCTTCAACCTTTGCCTGACATCCATTATCCTACATCCAAACTGCTCCCTGTCCCTGTCCCATACATACCCCACACACTTTTCTGGGGGATTGGAGAATGAGCAATAACTCTCAACGATGATGTTCTTCTTCCCAGGTAGCACATGCATTTAATAGGGACCTTTTGGGGTCAGTGTCTAAACCCAGAGAGATAATTCTAATGATGGAATTTCAGGTACCATGATTATCTAAAAGGAGAGATGTTCAGGGTCTTCTTCATGCCCTCCCACTACACCTACTTGTAGAGCTGGTCCCCCGTTCTAAAAACTGTTGGACAGACTGCAGACTGACCATTTGAGAGAAGATATTGCCTGCTTTTGTGCCACATGTCCTCTGTTTCTGTTTGGTTTTGTAGGAAATTGGGGTCATCTTTGGAGAATGCAGCGCTATCTTGGGGCATAACATCTTAGAGCCCGTTGTGACCTTAACAAGGTGAGTGTAACCTGTCCCCAAATTCCCATACCCCAGCATCCCATCCTGGCACTAATATTCTGCTTGTGTGCATAGGAGTGTGTGTGTGTGTGTGTGTGTGTGTGTTTAAGCAATTCTGCACAGGGTGGGTTTGGCAGTTCCAGTGAATTGGAGGGAATTTTTTTGTGTGTGAGGTGATTGGGGTTAAATGACTTGCCCAGGGTCACACAGCTAGTAAGTGTTATGTGTCTGAGGCTGGATTTGAACTCAGGTCCTCCTGACTCCAGGCGGGAGCTCTATCCACTGCACCACCTAGCTGCCCCAATTGGAGGGAATTTAAAGGGGATAGGAAAGTGATCTGTCAAGTCATTAGGATTATAATGTTATTAAGATAGCACTTTATATTTACAGAGTGTTTTAGAGTCCTAATTTTCTTGTATCCTCCAATAGAATGTAATATCTTTGAGAGCAGATAATATTTAGTCTCATCTTCTGAGCAAGGCATGAGATACAAGAAAGAGGTGGGGCAGCACAGGATTGCTTGCTGTTTGTGCAGGGCAAAGACCTAGGTGAGGCTCTGTAATAAATAAATAAATAAATAAACAAACAAACAAACAAATATAAAGAGCCTCTGGAACAAAGGGCTGCATAGTGAACTCCAACAATAGTTGGAGTCAGGAACACCTAGGTTCAAATTCTTATGATGTTTATTAGCTTGATATTCCTAAAGTGCATATCTAACTGTAGAGTCATAGATTTAGGGTTAGAAGAGACCTTAGAGACCATCTAGAGGCCATCTTCCTAATTTTACAAATGAGGAAACTGTGGCATGGAAAAGTTAAATGACTTATTCAGGATCACAATCTAGTAAAGCATCTGAGGTAGGATTTGAACTTAGGTCTTCCTGACCCCAATTTCAGTCCTCTATCTACCACTCCATACAACTTCTACTCTCCTGCTAGAATTTCTATAGCTCCCTATTGCCTCTAGGATAAAAATACAAACTTCTCTTTTGAGTCACTAAAAACCTTTCACAAGCTATCTCTGGCCTATCTTTCCTTATCTGATTACATGTGATTCCTCCACACTTACCTTCTATTCCAGCTCAGCTATCTTACTTGTTTTTCCTACTTGTCTTTCCATCTGCTATCTTCTCACCTTTATATGTCTGTCCCTCATAGCTGGGACGCTCTCTTTCCTCCCCCCTGCTTCATGAAACGCTCAGTTCCCTTACAGTCTCAGTTCAAAGGCCACATCCTTTAAGATGCCTTTCCTTATTTCTTTAGTTAGTACCCCTTGAGCCCCCAATGAGTTTGCATTTATGTGTATGTGTTTGCACAGATGTTATATTGCACACACATAGTACGTGTGTCTTTAGTAGAATGCAAGCTTCTTGAAGGCAAGAGACTGTCTCTGTATCCCCAGTGCCTGGCACATAATAGGTGCTTACTAAATATTTGTCCATTGAAATAATTTAATTTCTCCAGGTGTTAGCTTCCTCATCTGTAAAATGAGGGCAACAATACCTGTAGTTCCTACTACGGCCTGTGGTACAGTGGTGGATAGAGCTCCCAGTCTGGAGTCAGGAGGACCTGAATTAAAATCTTAGCTGAGACACTCACCATATCAAATCTTAAGTCTGTTATCCAATGTGATAGCTATCCCTCCCAGCTCAATGTCATCTACACAACTGATAAGCATGCTCTGTGAGCCTTCCTCCAAGCCAATGGAAAAATGTTGAACTGTACAGGACCAAGGACAGATCCCTGGGGCACTTCTCTATCAGTTTCCTTTCTCACATCCTACTAAATCATCACTTTACTTTTTCTCACATTTCCTACTTTATCTCACTAGTTCTGACTACCCATATGCTCTTCCATGAACTATTTTTCCTCATTCCTTTAAAAAAATATAAATTGAATTTTCATTGTTCTGTATAACAAGCTATAACGAGTCCTCATTTTACAGATAAGGAAATGGAGATGCTGAGGTTCAGAGGGGAGAAGTGACCTGTCTGGTGACACACAACTCATCCTATTCATAGGATTATAGATTTAGAGCTGGAAGGGACCTTAGAAGTCACTGAATCCAGCTTCCCACTCCTGCCTTATTTTCCAGATGAGGAAAGGAAGGTTCAGAGAGGTTTGCCCAGTGTCACACAGTTAGTGAGCAGCTGAGGTGAGATTTGAACCTAGGTCTTCCTGACTTTGGGCAGCTGTTCCACCTGCCCTGCCCTAGTTAAGCTTCTGAGAAGCCCAGAGAAGGCTTTGTCCATCTCACTTTCAATAAAAGATCAGCTTTCATTTTAGGACACAACCAGGAGTGCATTTAGAAGAGAGTGAAGAAGATAGTAGGTGTCTAAGTTCATAGCAATGATTTGGCGACCGGAAGGAGGTTTTCACAAAAGAATAAGATAGGTCAATGAAACATAAAGCTACAGGTCTTTATTAATGCCTATTTTAATTTGCCCAAAGAAAGGACCAAGGTCTAAAATGAAATTCCTGGGGATAGGGATAGGGTCAGGGGGGAGTAGGGACAAAGGATGAGGGGATCTCATTTGCCCAGGGAGGATCAGCAAACCTTGGGTATGATGGATCTTAAAGCCAAGAAAAGGAAGAGAGATGGAGATCCTTGTGAGAGACCACACTTGACCTTGACCCACACAAGTTTCTCCTGCTCTCTGCCTCTCTTCCCAGTAGATAAGTGGGGTATTTGGATCCTATACCAGAGCAGTTCAGCAAGGCTGCTGAAGGCTGTGGGTTTGGTTCTGGAATATCTGGTTGATATTCCACCTCTGATATTATATGTGGGGAGGTGCTAGGATTTCGTTTGGGGAGGCACCCAGTCACATAGCCATAGGGCATGGTAGTTTCCAGAAAAAGACAGGGTGGGAGTGTCAAAATAGAGACAGCCTGCTGCAGAGCCCTGAGTGTTCTAGGAGCTAAAAAACTAGAAAGGTTTTTTTTGACACCTCAGTGGGGAGGTAGAAACCATACTATATAAAGATGTATGAAAGTAACCAGGCATATTTAGCTTAGAAAAGAGAAAACCATGGGGAAAGATGAGTGATCTCTTCATTTAAGTGAGGAGATGATGGTAAATGTTTAACAACCAGGTCTGGGAGGGAAAAAAAGGATCTATGATGTACTTTAAAGTTTATTCTGCATTATTAACATTTTTCATCACTTTCTTAAGTCTAGACAATCAACAAAACAGTAAATCAATCCCTAATTTGTAACATTTACTGATTTCTAAGCTATAAATTCTCACACTGAAAATTTAACAACCTGCTCAGCTTTGAATTGGCTTCAGCTTACCCCTGGATGGGAGCTCTTCTGTGTGGCCCCCATGAGCAGAGGTAGAAACCATAGGTAGAAGTTTCAGGGAGAGAAATTTTGGCTCAATAAAAGGAAGAATGCCTTAATAATTTGAACTGTTTAAAGTGAAATGGACTTCATCATTAGGTCAACAACCTCAAGGATTCATTCATTCATTCAATAATGTTGAATTCTAGGAAGTACCTACTATGTGCAGAGCACTGTGTCAGGTGCTGGGGAAGATACAAAGTTTAGATAATCAACAACTTTTATTAAGCACTTACTGTGTGCAGGTCACTGTGCTAGATGCTGATGATACAGAGACAAAAGTGAGATAGTTCCTATCATCAAGGAGCATACATTCTATGGGGAGAAAGATCATGCATGTAAATAATTATATGCAAAATAAATGCAAAGTAAATGAGGAAGAAGGAGGACCACCAATGTCTGGGGGGGGGGCATTGGGAAATGCTTCATGTAGAACGTAGTGCTTGAATCTTAAAAGGAAGCAGGAAAACTAAGAGGTGGGAGTAAGGAGGGAGTGTGGACGAGTCATGGGGGAGAGCCCAGGCAGAGGCTCCTAGACAGGAGATGGAGTGCAATGGGTGAGCAAGATGGCAGGTTGGCTGTACTGGAGAGTTCACAAAGGGGAATAATCATCCTGGAAAGCTAGAATAAAGCCCAGTTGTAGAAGGCTTTAAATGCCAGATCTCAGAGGTCATCTGGTACAACTGCCTCATTTTACCAATGAAGAAATTGTGGCCCAGAGAGTCTCAGATAAGTGACTTGCTGAAGGTCACACAGGGAATAAGGGTCAGAGGCAGGGTCCTCTGACTCCAAAACCAGTGCTTTTTTTGAACTAATCTACTCTGTCCTCCAAGGAATTTATATTTCATCCTGTAGGTAGTAGTTGGGGCAGCTACATGTCCCAGTGGATAGAATTCTGGGCCTGGAGTCAGGAACACTTGAGTTCAAATCAGATACTTACAAGCTGTGTGACCCTGGGCAAGTCACTTTACCTTTTTGCCTCAGTTCATCATCTGTAAAATGAGCTGGAAAAGGAAATGGCAAACTGCTCCAGTTTCTCTGCCAAGAAAACCCCAAATGGGGTCACAGAGAGTTGGACATTACTGAAACAACTGAACAACAACATAGATAATAGTTAAAACAGTACCTATCTTCATGGACATCAGATATAGTTAAGTATAATATATGGTATTACATAGTCACATGTGTGAAGCAGGGCAGTACAGGAGCTTTGGTGGGGATGGCTGCTTTTGGGGGAATGTTTCAGAGGAAATCAAGCTTTAAGTAGGGGATTGGCTCAGCTGATCCTCCTTCCAGCTCCAGGAATCTAGATTCCTAAGCTCCAGGCCTGCAGACCCAAAGGCCTCCCTCACTTAGTGACGCTACCTGGGTCACCTCACAGGGCAATGCGAGAACAGGGCGCCAAACTGAAACACAGTGTGGTGGAGCTGGAGAAGAAGGAGGTGAAGAAGAAAGCTGGCTGCTGCTCCTGAGTCGGTGGGCTTGGCAGGCTTGGAGGGGCCAGTGGTGCAGGAAGGTGGCAGGACTCAATCCCTTCAGTTCCTCCTCCTTCCTATCTGACTTTGACAATCAACAACGGCAAGGAAAACCACGAAAATTCATGGATCTTGAGAGTATCCATCATGAAGCACTTTTTTTAAGTGCACAGAAAAAAGCAGAATGATGTTTGGAAGGAGACACAGATGAGCAAGGCAATGTGCATACTTTTGTGTTAAATTTAATACAAATTTTAAAAGAATTGTATGGAACAGACTCACAGTTTCATAGATAATCCTCTTTCTCTAGTCTTCTTTGTATATTGAAATCTTTATGTTTGCTAATTTTAAGTTCATAATAAAAATTATATGTGTATGTATATATATGTGTGTATGTGTGTATGTTCACACACATAAACACACACACACACACACACAACATATCCCAAACCTTACTGAATTGGACTCTTGGGGATTCAGAAGTTTAATAATGGAAGAATAGACTCATCTTCCTGAGTTTAAATCTAGCCTCAGACATTTATTAGCTGTGTGACCCTGGGCAAGGCACTTCACCCTATTTGCCTCATTTTCCTCACCTGTAAAATGAGCTGGAGAAGGAAATGGCAAAGCACTCCAGTATCTTTGCCAAGAAAACCCCAAATGGGGTCACGAAGAGTTGGACATGACTGAACAACAATGACAAAATAATGGAAACAAAGGCCAGGAAGACTTAGGTTCAAGTCCTACCTCTGACACATACTGACTGTGTGATCCTGGGCAAGTCACTTAACTTTTCAGTGTTCTAGAAGACTAACTAAGACCATCAATTGCAGAGAAGGTACCAACCTGCATGGATTGAGGGAATTTCCTTACATGGGAGTTCCTTATACCGATGAAATCTCAGGTCTAATTACTACCCTAATAATCAGTCCTGGGTCTCGATTGAAGTTCAGTCTTGTACTCTGAAGGAAATTTGCTTGAGCAAATTAATATCATAAAAGAAATTGCGGGCTTAAATGGTTTTAAACCACTTAAGGGAATGAACCATTTTTAGACCCAGTCAAATGTTTTAAAATAACTGAAACCTGGATGCTCATTAACCTGGCTAGGCTAATTTATTCAACAAACACTAAGCTCCTACCCTGAAGAACACTTTCCTAAGCTGAGACATATAGAGTTTAGGTAACGATGGGTCCCTATCCTCCTTGAGCTAGTTAATTACATCTTGTTCTTACCTGTTCATTAAAGCAAGTCCCGCAAGGAACTCTACTTGGCAACACAGGGTTAGTCTTATTACCATGCACTTAAAAATAATCAAAATACATTTCCTTGAAAATATTCTGCAGTTCAGACTTAGTGTTCATTGTAATTGGCGAGAAGGGCCCCTCTCACTCCTATTCATTCAAATGAGTGTATCTAGGCCCAAACAATCATGGCAGCCTATGACACAATTCCTTCTCCCTGTTCCCCAACCACAGCATCCAGCTTTAATGGGCAGCTTGCCCATTTAGGGGACATCCATCGTCCCAGTGCCCTCTGAATGCCCTCTGAAGTGATTATTTGTCCCAGCTGACAGATGGCAGGTCAGTAATTATTAAGTCTGTATGACATGTTGAGCGCAAGTCTAGCCTCAGGGCATGGAACTGTGAGAATACAGAGCAGAGACAAACCATTCTTGGGTGAATGGAAAGAAGAGACAGTGCTGTTTACTGACCAGAATGCTGGTTTGGGAGTCGGAAGACCTTTTATCTTTTCCTAATTGACTTTCCATTGCCTTCCCCACTGCAAATGTTCCCAGCCTTCTCTGATTGGAGAAGGGAGAGACTGAAAGTCTCTCTGTCTTAGTCACTGAGTGGTCTAATCTTGGTGATTCTACATCCTCAAAATATCTTGTCCCCATCTGCTTTTCTCCACTTAGACTCTCTTATATTGCCCCACTCCCTCTCAGGATAGGACTTCACCTGCTTAGCACAATGACTGGCACATGGTAAGCATTTGATAAATGCTTGTTGACTTGACCTCTGAAAAGTAGGAAATACAGGTGATGTTCCTTTACCTTCTTTATTTTACACCTCCATGTCCCTTAATACCATGCTACATTCTCTCCTCCTTTGTGCCAGTCTCTGACATCAAGACTCTCCTCATCAAGAACAGCTTCCATTCTTGAACTCTTGATCACACCCAATCATTACCCAAGCCCCCCCCTCCAGCCTCTCCCAATCACGTCTCCCCATATCTATAGACTCCTTCCCCATTGTCTACAAACAATCCAAGTCTTCCTCGTTCTCAAAAACAACAACAAAAATAATCCTTCAGCTTGGCCCAACCATACCCATAGTTATCATCCTATCACCTTTCATAGTCAAACTAATGCCCCTTTCTCTCTTCTGATCTTATTATCACCTTGGCACAAGTCCTCACCATCTCCTGTCTGGACTATTGCAATAGCTGGTCTCCCTGCCATAAGTCTTTCCTTAATCCAGACCATCTTTCACTCAGCTGTCAAAGGGATTTTCCTAAAGAACAGGTCCATTATTTTAACTTCCTCCTCAGTAAACTTCAGTGGCTCCTTATCCATCACCTCCAGGATCAAATATAAAGTCCTCTGGCTTTCAAAACTCTTCATAACCTGCCTCCCCCACCACCTTTCCAGTCTTCTTAAACCTTACACTCCTTCCAAACCCCATCCCTCACACAAACTCACATGAAATCTTCTATACAGTGATACGGGTCTCCTTGCTGTTCCTCAAAAAAAGACACTTCCTCTCCCAACTATGGGCATTTTCTATGGTTGTCCCCCATACCTGGAATGTTCTCCCTCCTCATCTCTGCCTCCTGGCTTCCTTCAAATCCCGACTAAAATCCTATTTTCTATAGAAAACTTTTTCCACTCCACCTTAATTCTAGTGCCTCCCCTCCTCTGATGATTTCAAATTTATTCTGTATATGGTTTATTTGTACATAGTAGTTTACATGTTATCTCCCTCATTAGATTGTGAGCTCTTTGAGAGCAGGGACTGTCCTTCTCCTCCCTCCCCACCCCCTTACTTTGTATTCCCAATGCTTAGCATAATGTGTGGTGCATTGAAGGAGCTTAATAAATGTTTATTGACTGAATGATTGATAAGCTCTCCACTTCTCTTCCACTCACTTTTTAGCCCATTTTCATCTGGCTTTGGATCTCGCCATGCAACTGAAATTGCCCTCTCCAAGGTACCAACTGTAGGGAGTTATAGGAGGTTTGCCTTGACTTTGGTTGAAATCAGTGGTTTTGTTGTGATCAGACAGGCATAAGAAAGTCAGGAATAAAGAACAGGAATGGAGACCATTGTATCTTTAGGCTTCACCTAGCCTTTTTGTTCTCACCTGCAGGTTCATTTGCATGAAAATCAAGGGGCAATATGGGAACTGAGGGTAGGTAGCATTATCACCCCTTCTACTGAAGGAATTGAGAGGATTGAAGCAGCAAGTGGTGGTGGAAATTGAGAGAACCACACTGACTCCATCTTGTGATTGAATTCTGAAATTAACTCAGTTCCCTTTCTATTCAATTATGGGTTTAGTCCAACTTCTGTCTCATGAGAAAACTACTCAATTGTGGAAATTGGAGGAAAATCTTATTGCATGGTTTGAACCTAGCCCTGCATGGCTGGGAAGCTGGACCACTTCTCCTTGCTGCTCAGAGACCCTTAACCTAGGTTTTGCTGAGTAGAAACCCAGTCAGACTCAAAGACAGATGCAAGGAGTTTTCTCACAATTGTACGTCTCAAGCAATGTCTGTCTTATCTGAAGACTAGCCCCATACATCAATCAGTATTGTTTCCATGTTCCTTTGATTGTTCACAAACACTTGGGGGGAGTGGGACACCTCTTTTTCTGATTTCAGGGAATTGTACCTGTTCACTCTCCCCCTCCCAACTTAGAAAGTCCCTAATCTCTCTTCCAATTAGAAATCAGATTACTTAATGTTGTATCCTGGTTGATCGTTTCCTTTTAATTAATTGGCCTAATTTGATTGTTTTTAATATGTAAAAAAACAAACAAACAAACAAACTATTCTTCCTCCACCCCCACTCCCATTCAAGGTCTAGACCTAAGCTGAAGAGGTCTGGTCGTAGTTCGTTATGCAATTGGCATGCATTGCTTAATAAATTGAAATGTTTGGAAGCTTGAACATTTGTTTCCTTAATCATTTCGTCTTTCACCTGCCACACCATCATAGAGTTCACGTGGGGATTCTGTTGAATAGAGTCTCTGAAATGCTTTCAGGGAAGACAAACAAAACTAAGTTATAAAGGACTCTGTTGTAAATCAAATAGTTTACTTGGTTCTCAAATTGTTACCACTTAATATTAATCCTAGACTAGACCATTTTGCAGGCTTTTGTTGACTACCTGACTGCAAATTTAGTCCTCCCTTACCAGGGAGAGGCTTTCTGGCTGCTGAACCCCAGCAGATGGTAGCAGAGAGCAGCAGATGTTGCTTAAGAGACTCAAGACCAGTAGATGTAGCAGTGAACAGCTCAAGGAACACAATACCCAAAGAGATACCCAGAAGAGAGTGAAGACACTGTACTTAGCAGAGACAAAACTCACCCAGCAAAGATGACTCAGCATATAGCAAAAAGCAGTATGATGGTGTCACCAGAGAACATTGGAGGTTCTGTAGCTCTAGGGGTGTGAGCTGCCCTGGTCGCAATCCATCTTTGCCATATATATCTAACCCGAAGGCTTGACTCAATGCCTATTTCCTGGTCATACATTCTCTGCATGTGTCCATTTCACCACTGATGGTGTGGTACCCAGTGGAAGAATGTACCCCTATTTGCCTGAAGAGTTTTTTTTTGCTCAATTATCTTACTCTGCCATTTAATTAAATGTCTTAAAAATTAATGCATTGGTTGGGGCCCGTGAGGATTTAAGTAGATTCTAGCTCATACCCTCAATGAGCCTCAAACCTAAGGTAGTATTCTAGGTGTTCAAGAGTCAATGGGATGCTATACAATCATATTTTAATTGATAAATGTGATGGCCTTTCTGAATCTCTATATATACCACTGATCACTTTCTCCTACTAGATCTTTCTTCCCTGGATTTTTGTGACTGCTCTCTTCTGGTTCTCTTTCTACTTTTCTGATGACTTTGTGAATTCCTTTTGCTAGATCCTACTCCTGTCATGATAAAAAAAATTAATTTTCGCTAAAGAGAAGGCAATAAACTTCTGAGCATATTCAGCTTATTAGCAAGACTAGCAATAGCCAATAAAAGGGATCCAAAGCTCCTCAGCAGCCAGGCATGCAGTTGA